CAGCCTCCCAAAGTGCTGGGATTACAGGCATGAGCCACCGCGCCCAGCTTGGAAAGCTTTTTTGAACCAGTCAAAATAATCTAAGACAGACTCATCTCTTATTTGAGTGAATCGTTCAATGGCTTTCCAATTAATTTGCCAGAGGAAAAGCACTGGAATGACCTTCAACAAATCACAGGTTATTTTCTTTGCTTTTGTTACAGCCATGTCCCTTTTGAAATGGAAGTCCTCTAGAGGTTTTATCCATTTAGTTAGGCATATACATGTTTGAGCTACAACAATGACCCCTAGCATGTGAATTAATTGATAGATTTTGGTGAGTCTGTGCTAGTACGCACTTACGATGAAACCAAAGTGGCATTCAAATTCAAGGAAGTCAGTTTTAGGACAATCGCCAAGAGTTCAGATTTAGACTAAGGAATGTAAGATATGGTCTAACCTCCCTCTGCATTTTCACTTATTTTAAATGGGGCAATAAGAGGAGTTGAGGGGTTATGGGTAGTGTGCCTGGGATAGACAGTGAGGAGAAAAAAGGAAGTTCAGAAAGTGAAGAAGGTAGTGGCGGAGGAGAATAAAGTAGAGGTAGTGCAGAGGGAGTGAAAGGAAGAGGAACAAAGGGTTTGAGTCCTTCTTGGGAATATAATCTGGGTTAGGAGGATTTTCAAGTTTTTGGAGGCACTAACTGAGTTCAGAATTAGTTTCTCTCAAGAAGGCAATCTGAAATTCCTGATCGCATTTGGAGTTTTCGTAGTATCTATTAAAGAAAGCCTTGTATTGTCTTTGAGAGACCTAGATTCCTCTGTTCTAATTGCATGCATAAATAAATTTGATTAGGGATACAGAAAGTTCCCCAATTTAGTCAAAAGAGTTTTAAATCACCCTGGGTTAATTTTATCCAGAGCCTTAAATAGGCACAAGAATGTTCTCCACAGGTTTTAAATATAAAATTCATTGGTGCATCATCAGGTGGCTGGTTGGAGACCATTACCTTAGATCATGGGTTACCCACAGCACTGTGACAAAGGCATCCCTTTGAGTGCAACAGAGCATGAGTGTCCCCACAAAACTTGCAATGTGAGCATACTCCACCAAGCACAAGTACATTGCAAAATGCAAAAGTACTCCACAAAGTGTGAGTGTACCCCGTAGGGCCCATAGAGCCAGGTGAATGTGCTCCTTGGAGAAAACAGTCTCGGAGACCTCAACCTAAAAGCAGGAGATCTGCAGATGGGGAAACATAGCCTCCAATGTAAACTAAGTGTGCTCCAAAGAACAAAGAGTGGGTCTGGCTTAAATAGGGAAAGTTCTCCTCCCAGCCCTTAATCAAGTCTGTGTATGCAAATAAATAACTCAAAAGTAGTCCCCATTAGTTGAAAACAGCTGAGTCCTGATTGGGTAGTTTCCAAGTCCCAACCAGAAGTCTCTGTTGGATGTCACTTTCAGAAAGGCAGCTGGCAAGTTTTCCTGCCATTGTGCATGTTACTCTTCAAAAAGACAACTGCCTAAGTTTAAAGGAAACACCCTGTAGAAATAAGCCCAAGGGTCTTCTCAGGCTATGTTCTAGGCCCAATTTACCTCCAATCCTTTTTCTCCTTGAAATAATTTCTTCTCACAGCCTGTCTTCTGTATATATCCAGGCAGGGCAAAGCACAAACATAAGCTAAGGTGATACTTTAAATAGGGAATACACAAAACATTAGAAGGAGATAGAGTAAGCAATTATCTTAACAATGGTATGATGGTAGGAGAAAAAAGGGGAGTTTTGAGAAATAACCTCTCCTATACATGCCTGCCTAAGTGTAAGTTATCTGTGGTACTTTATTGTGCTAATGTGTAATTTTACATTTAAATGGTTCAGTGGAATAATTCAATAGATTGTAGATCAAGGCTTCAGGCTTTATCACCTCTATTTTACAAGTCATGCTTGCTAATGGGGGTTAACTGCTTGCAGCTTCCAGGGGACCCTGGAGGGCCCTGGTTTTCTGAGAACCACAGTTCCTAAAGAGCCCAAGTTCCAGTGATTTTTTTTTTTTTTTTTTTTGAGACGGAATCTTGCTCTGTTGCCCAGGCTAGAGTGCAGTGGCACAATCTTGGCTGACTGCAACCTCCACCTCCCAAGTACAAGCAATTCTCCTGCCTCAGCCTCCCAAGTAGCTGGGATTACAGGCGCTCACCAGCGTGCCTGGCTAATTTTTGTATTTTTAGTAGAGACAGGGTTTCACCATGTTGGCCAGGCTGGTCTCGAACTCCTGACCTTGTGATCCACCCGCTTCAGCCTCCCAAAGTGCTGTGATTACAAATGTGAGTCACTGCACCCAGCCAGTTAGAGTGATTTTCTAAAAGCCACTTTTGATGCACCTGTAGGCCCAGCTACTTGGGAAGCGGAGGCGGAGACGGGAGTGATCTCAGACCAAACTGAGGGTGGGCCTACTATTTTTCGTGACTCAATGACAAGATGCAAACAAACTGGGGAGGAAGAGAGTTTTTTATTTCTGTAACTGTTTACAGGGAGAAGGCCTGGAAATTATCACCAGACCAACCCAAAATCACGATGATTTCCAGAGATTATATACCTTCTAAGCTATATGTCTACATGTAAGTGTGCATTCATCTAAAGACATAAGTGATTAACTTTTTAAAATCTATAAATAAGGTCTGAATCTTGAAGACCTTCCTCTGGAACCTCAGTAAATTTACTTAATCTAAATGGGTCCAGCAAGGTGCAGTGGCTCATGCCTGTAATCCCAGCACTTTGGGAGGCCGAGGCGGGCAGATCACAAGGTCAGGAGTTCGAGACCATCCTGGCTAACACAGTGAAACCCCATCTCTACTAAAAATACAACAAATTAGCTGAGCGTGGTGGTGGGCGCCTGTATTCCCAGCTACTCCAGAGGCTGAGGCAGGAGAATGGCGTGAACCCAGGAGGTGGAGCTTGCAGTGAGCCGTGATCATGCCACTGTACTCCAGTCTGGGTGAGAGAGCGAGACTCCGTCTCAAAAAAAAAAAAAAAAAAACTAAATGAGTCCAGGTGCTGGTGTGATTACCCTTATCTTGCCTCCTGCTAAATCACAGAGGTTTGGAGAGTTCCTTCCACTTCCAACAAACTTGTTTGTGGAGCCCTGGGGGAATTTCTTCAGACCTACAATAAAACTTGTTTAATCCTGAATGGGTCAATAATTCCTTTGTTATTTTGTCATGTTTTAAGGTCCAGGAAAGGCCTAGGCAAAACTCTTGGTGGGCTTTAGCTACATTCCAGCCTTTGTATAAGGGCACTGACTTTTTTTAGCTTTTAATATTAACTTCACCACTCAGTACTGAAACAGTTGTTATGGAGGCCTTTGTTAGTGAGACATGGCCTGCCATAGGAGGACTGCTTGAGCCCAGGAGTTAGAATCAAGCCTGGGCAACAGAGCAAGACCCCATACCTTATAAGATGCCTTTTATTTTTAGTTTTTTAAAATTTTTTTCGAGACGGGGTCTCAATGTCGTCCAGGCTGCAGTGCAGTGGTGTGATCATGGCTCACTGCAGCCTCAGTTTTCTGACTAGCTAGGACCACAGGTGGGTGCTCCCACCCCCGGCTAATTACATTTTTTTGTTTGTTTGAGACAGGGTCTCATTCTGTGTCACCCAGGCTGGAGTGCAATGGCAGGATCTTGGACTCACTGCAACCTCTGCCTCCTGGGCTCAAGCAATTCTCCTGCCTCAGCCTCCTGAGTAGCTGGGATTACAGGCACCTGCCACCATGCCTGGCTTTTTGTATTTTTAGGAGAGACAGGGTTTCACCATGTTGCCCAGGCTGGTCTGGAACTCCTGACCTCAAGTAATATACCTGCCTTGGCCTTCCAAAATGCTGGGATTACATACTTGACCATTGCCACCTGGCCTAAAAAATAATATTTTTAAGAGACAAGGGTTTTGCTATGTTGCCCAGGCTAGTCTTAAACTCCTGGGCTCAAGCGATTCTTCCCAGTAGCTTGGGATTACAGCCACTGTGCCTGGCAAGGCACTTTTATTTCTGATATTCCCTTAGCCAACTCGAAGTAAAACCATCTCTTAAATGTATCTTGACAAAACTTGGCAGCAAACAAAAAAATCTCAAACTTGTCTGTCATTAAAAGATTGTGGTACCCACGCAATGACACCAACACAATACTTAGGGTATGGTGTTTTTTTACCCACCAGTTTTGAAAAAGTTAATTACATTTGGCAATTCCCCATTCCCTTATAGTGAGGGGTCTCAGGAGCTGGCTCCTACACATAAAGGGGCTTAGAAGAGTGGCTGGCACCTAGGCCACCAATAGACTTTTGCCCCACCCAACCGGTGACACAGCCCGGGGCCCCTCCGCCCCCTGGCGGCCATTACGGATTTCCGCCTCCCTCACAGAAGGCAGCCGCTGCAACGTGCGTGGCCTCAGTTGCGTCACATCCGGCCCTTGCGATCAGGGCTTGAGGAACCCGCGCCATGAAGTGCGTGTTTGTTACCGTAGGGACCACCAGCTTTGACGACCTCATTGCGTGTGTGTCGGCGCCCGACAGTCTGCAAGTGAGTGAGGGAGGCGAGCAGGCGTCGGCTTGGCTCGCCACCCGCCGTCTCCGGCCTTACTGAGCCAGCCGCGGTAGCCTTGCCTGACCGTCACGCTCGGAAAGAAACCCCCGCAACTCTACCACAGGTGCCGCTGTCTCTTAGCTGGCTCCTGCCTACGCCCGGCGGGGCCCTTCGGCTACCCGGCTACTCGGGGTCGCATGTTTCCTCTTCCCATTACCCAGGCCGTTCCTTTCCCTCATTTCTTCGGCTCCTTTCCCGGGCTTCCCCCGCGCTGTATTCTCCGCCTCCGCGTCCTCCGCCCCTCCTTCCAACGGCTCCGCCCCTCCGAGCCCGGGTTTTCCACCGGGCTAGGCAGTTTCTCCTCAGCCCCCCTGTGGACCGCGCGTCGGCGCCGGCGTCTCAAGTCCGCCGAGCTCGCCTCAGAGCCCGGCTCCTTCCCCTCAGCGCTTGACCGGAGCCCGCGCGGTTCCCCTCAGCGCGCGTGGTCCCCTCAGGGCTCCCGGTTCTCGCAGTTCAGCAAGTGAGGCAGAACGGGTAGTCCCTGGGTTCCCCCCGAGTGTGCGACTCCTTTTCCAAAGTCTTTTCCTGCTGTGGCTTTAGCGGGACTCTGCGAGCTGGGTCGCTTAGATTCACGAGTGCTCGGGAGGTTCCTCGTCGGGCCCCGGACCGGAGAATACGTTAGTTTTGAAAACTAAGTGAAATTGGCCACAGGTAGGCTCTTTGGCGGCCGTGCCCCGGTCTTAACGTCAAACTTGAGTAGTGATGGTGGTTCCTGCTCTGTTTTACATAGTTTAAAAGGCCCTCGTGTTCTGATTTCCTCTTTCAGAAAATCGAGAGCCTCGGTTACAACCGACTTATCCTGCAAATTGGTAGAGGAACGGTGGTACCTGAACCCTTCAGTACTGAGTCGTTTACTCTGGATGTTTACAGGTACAAGGATTCCTTGAGAGAAGACATCCAGAAAGCAGATCTTGTTATTAGTCACGCAGGTAAAGGTGCCTTAGAATCTCAGGGTTGGGTCTTTTAATTTTAATTTTTTTTTTTTTTTTTTTTAAGTTCTGGGGTATTCTGGGGCACATATGCAGGATGTGCGGGTTTGTTAACAAAGGTAAACGTGTACCGTGCATCATCTAGGTATTAAGCCCAGCATCCATTAGCTTTTTATCCTGATGCTCTCCCTCCAGTAAGGAACTGACACTTGAACCTTTTCGAGGTAAAATAAAATCGCTAGCTGAACTCACTGTAGCCCTTTTTGAATACACAACTTATTTGAATATGATAATTGAGAACTTTATTGGAGAGAACTTAGTATTTTGGGGTGAGAGAAGAATGGGAAATTAATCACTGTAGCCCATCTTTACAATAAAAAACCCTAAACACTGAGGGGCAAAATAATTCACCCGGTGAAGTGTAATAAATTGTCAACTTGACATTAGTACTTGGGCTTAGCTAAAGGAGTGTTCTGCCTGCTGATTGGTTGGATTGGTCATGGAGTAAGTGGAATTGTAAGATTGTTTACACTTCTGTTGAATGTGAGTGAAATGAATCCAGTCAAAAATAGTAACAGCTACATACTGAGTAAATTGTTTCCTCTTCAGAGGACCGCCCTGATGGGCTACTTAATTAGACTTCTAGTGCATTCAGAAGAACTGCTTTTGGGGAGCAATGCAGTTTTGACTTGTTAAATAAGGTTTATTTTTATTTATTATTTTTTAAGTCTAGTTTGAGGAGAGAAAAGTCTTTAGAAATAGACATTACCAAAAGATTGGTGATTAAAAAATGTATCTCCTAGGAGGTAACAGCCTTTGGCACTGCTCTGACTGCTTTGTGTGTATTAACTTTACTCTTTTAAACAATCCTGTGAACTAAGTACTGTTAGTATCTCCATTTTACACGAGGAAACTGAGACACAAGAGTGGTTAAGTAATTTGTCCAGCCAGGAAGTGGTGGACAGATAACAATCTGGTGCTGGAGTTTATGTTCTTTTTTTCTTTTCTTTTCTTTTCCTTTTTTTTTTTTTTGGAGACAGAGTTTCGCTCTGTTGCCCAGGCTGGAGTGCAATGGCGCTATCTCGCCTCACTGCAACCTCCGCCTCCCAGGTTCAAGCGATTCTCCTGTCTCAGCCTCACGAGTAGCTGGGATTACAGGCGCACACTACCACGCCCGTCTAATTTTTTTTTTTTTTTTTGTATTTATTAGAGACGGGGTTTCACCGTGTTGCCCAGGCTCGTCTCAAACTCCTGAGCTCGGGCGATCCACCCGCCTTGGCCTCCCAAAATGCTAGGATTATAGGCATGAGCCACTATGCCCCTCCGGAGTTAATGTTCTTAACTAACCACCCTAGCGTAAGATACCCAAAAAGGATTTATCTATTCACGTATCAATCTCTTTGCTCTCATTTAAAATAGCTAGATGATTTTACATTTCAGAATTTAATTGATCCTAATATTTTATATTTGCATATTTATGGAAATCATTCTTGACTGTTTCTGGGATAGCACTTCACATGTAAACCCATACAAAGTGGTCAAGGTTTTTCGTTATTGATGCCTGCCTGTCTCTATTGTAGGCTTGCTTTTCTACCTGGGGTTGAATAGAAATGAAATATAGTTTCACATACAGTATGTGAAACCTCGATCTTATCTGCATTGAAGGCCATGCCCAAAGCATACTCCAGATGGCCCAATGTACAATGGTTTCACTTAGTTTTTCAACTTTATGGTGGTGTGAAAGCAATACACATATGCATTCAGTAGAAACTGCTCAGCGAGTACCCATACAACCATTCTGTTTTACACTTGCAGTATTCAATAAATGGCATGAGATATTCAACACTTTATCATAAAATAGGTTTTGTGTTCGATGATTTTGCCCAACCACAGGCTAATATAAGTGTGTTCTGAGCACGTTTAAGGTAGGCTAGGCTAAGCTGTCATGTGTGGTGGGTTAGGTGTATTAAATGCATTTTCTACTTAGAATATTTTCAACCGCTTTTTTTTTTTTTTCCTTTTTTTGAGGTGGGTTCTCTGTCACCCAGGATGGGGTACAGTGGTGCAATCATAGCTCACTGCAAGCTCTAACTCTTGGGCTCAAGCAGCCCTCCTGCCTCAGGCTCCCCAGTAGCTGGGACCACAGCCACCATGCCTTATTAATTATTTTTCTTTTTCTTTTTCTTTTTTAGCAGAGACAGGGTCTCTCTATGTTGCTGAGAGTGGTCTTGAACTCCTGGGCTCAAGCGATCCTCCCACCTCGGCCTCCCAAAGCGTTGGGATTGTAGGCATCAGCCACTGCACCCAGCCTGTTTTCAACTTATGATGCGGTTATACCCCATCATAAGTCGAGGGTCATTGGTACTAGAGAGCAAGTAGCATAGCACTGAATCATAGGCCATAATGTCATCATCAGTGATAAAATAATGTATTTTTCAAATAAAGTTTCTAACACTTTTTATTAGGGAGCAACTGATAACTATACTCTTGTCATTTTGAATGTATAATTGAAAGACCTAGCTTGTAGTTCTGTCAACTTAAGTTTTTTAACTTTTGAGTTCTAGCTATAAAACTTCGTGGGGACCTTAACTTATTTTAAATTGTGTTAAACAAATTTAATTTATATTTGTAGGTGCAGGAAGCTGTTTGGAGGCTCTGGAAAAAGGAAAGCCACTCGTAGTGGTCATAAACGAAAAGTTGATGAACAATCATCAGCTGGAACTGGCAAAGCAGCTACACAAAGAGGGTCATCTCTTTTATTGTACCTGCAGGTATACTAGAGACTGATTATTTTTGATCTTTTGCTTTAATTCGTCCCTTGCTGTTCCTCTTATCCACCTACCTCCCTCATCTGTCTCTTCTGCCTCTTACCTTCTCCCACTTACCAAACTTTTTGATTTTCTCAGCTCTAAAACACTCCCATTTGTTTGTCTCCCACTTTGCAATCTCTGTGTTGTATTTCTATGTGTATCTGTGGCTGTTTCTTTGCATATGTGAATATCTGAGAGAGAGTGTGTGTGTGTGTTTAGACGCGCATGTCTCTGAGACACTAATTTTGGAGTTCTAAATTTTGAGTTCATTATTTAGATTTTCATTATTCAAGGAAGACATTTGCTTATTTTAGTTAAAAGTTTTGCTTATAGTAAATCCACTAGAATCCGTAAATTATGTTTACTCTTTCATTTAATCAGTTACACCGAATATATAAAAGACACTGTTTTAGGTGCTGTGGATACAGTGGTAAACATGAGATAAAGTCCCTGTTCTCATGGTGCTTACATTCTGGTCGTGGAAAATTGATAGTAAACAAGTTCACAAATAAATGATCAAGGTATTTCACATGGTGAAATGTACTATGAAGAAAGTAAGACAGGGTGATGGGGTAACTGGGGTGAAGACTGATTAGAATTGTCAGAGAAGGCTTGGCAGAGTACCTAACATTTTGATCTTAGACTCGAAATACAAGGAAGAGCCAATCATCTGAAGATTTAGAGGCAGAAGGAACAGCAAGTGCAAAAGCCTAAGTCAGGAATGAACTTGGAGCTTGGTGTGCTTGAGGAACAGAGGGAAGATTAGTGTTGCCAGAGCATAGTGAGCAATATAGCAATATAATAGAAGATGAAGCTGGGTGGGGGTAGCTTATGTAAGAGTTCTGATTTTATTGATGTTTATTGAGAAGCCATTGAAGTATTTTAAGCAGAGAAATTATGGTAAGGAGTATTATTTTCTACAAGTATATTAGAATTCAACAGGAACTGATCATCGTAATAGAAGGATGAAGAAAATTGCTTGTTTGTTTTCTATTAGTTCTTCTTTGAGACACTAGAAGCTTGCCAAAGGGCCAGGTCAGTAATTCCCAATTGTTTGACTTTAAAACCTATCCTAGTTTGATGTTTCAAGAAGTAAATGCCTCATAGAATTACTATATATGTGTATATATATGTTTATTTATGTTATAGTAAAATGAAATTAATTTTAAAATAAAAAACCTGAGAAGAAACTGGCTAGAGCATAAGCTTTTCTTTTAGTTTTACTGCTTCTGTCTCTTAGGCACTCAGTAAATACTTATTCATTCATTAAATATTTATTGAGTACCTTCTATGTGCCAGGCATTGTTCTGGGCACTTGGTATACATCAGTGAACAAAACAGACAAAGACTCCTGTTCTTATTGAGAGGAGGAAGATTCATTGATTATTTCAGGAGTAAAATTGTTGGTGTCATTATCACTATAATGTTGGAGAAGAGGGAATGTCAGGGTAGCTGTGTAATATAGAAGCCAGTCTTGAACTATTTAGTGAGTCAGGAGAGAAGCTAGATTAAAGAGGAATAAACTTAATTTCCTAACTGATTTATGCAAGTCAATTTTTTCCAGATACTTTTAATTACTATTTTCATTCTAAATGTTAAATCAGCTTTGATTTTATGTTAGCACATTAAAAGGAAAACATTGATTTCATAAACATACCCTGATTTTTTACTCATGCTGAAAAGGAAGGAAACTGTACAAGTCTCCAATTTTTTTCTTTTATTTTTTTTACAGTTTTAAATGGCTTTTTTTCTATATTAATTTCAAGAAAGTCACATAAAAGTAGTAAGCAGTAAGCCAATAATTGGTTATATTTTCTTTTCTTTTCCTTTTTTTTTTGAATTTCGTTCTTATTGCCCAGGCTGGAGTGCAATGGTGCAATCTCGGCTCGCCGCAACCTCCACCTCCCGCCTTCAAGCGATTCTCCTGAGTAGCCAGGATTACAGGCATGCGCCACCATGCCCGGACTAATTTTGTATTTTTAGTAGAGATGGGGTTTCTCTGTTGGTCAGGCTGATCTCAAACTCCTGACCTTAGGTGATCTGCCTGCCTCGGCCTCCCAAAGTGCTGGGATTACAGGCATGAGCCACCGCGTCCAGCCAGTAATTGGTTATATTTTCATTTTCGGTAAATCATTTATTTTCCCCAAACCTAGGCTGGGGGGTGATATGTATGTTCTAATTTAAGCGATTGGTTTAAATAAATTTCTGAAGTAATAGTTCTATGTTTAAAAGCTTATTTCTAGCATACATGGTGGTGTGGTATATTGTTTAATTATATATGAAGTCATGATAGTAAATTACTGGCAAAGATTATTTCACAATCTTCATGCGTGGTCTAGTAGTTTCCCCAGCTTATTATCTTGTCTAGCAGCTATTATTTTTGGTTTCAATTTTTAAATATCATTTCTGAAATAGTTGACATAGGAGATAAGGTATCTGCTGAATTTATATTGACATTTTATAGTACTCTTTGTATTGCTTTAATAATCTTAGTATGTATACTTATAATATTAAAATATATACAAATTCGCATGTGCAGTTCTTAGAAGTACCACTATATTCTTGGAAGTTAGATTCAGTCATCAGTGGGCAGCAGATAAAGTATGGAATTTTCTCCCATGTTGCCTAATATTTTTCTTCTTTTGTTTTAGCACGCTTCCTGGGCTGTTACAGTCAATGGACTTATCAACACTGAAATGTTATCCTCCTGGCCAGCCAGAAAAATTTTCTGCATTTTTGGATAAAGTTGTTGGATTACAAAAATAAACACTAAACTCTCAACACTTTAAAAGCAACCCCCAAATTCAACCTATGGAATGTGATTAAATCAAATTAAATACATAATATATATATTTACAAAATAATATAATTAATAAACTTCCTACATCTATAGAATGTATAGGAAATTTTATGGTGTGCACATTTGCATTGGGTCCAAATCCTAATTGCAGTTTAGTAAACTTTCTAGATTTTTTCTAATCTTCAGTATGTAGTAAGCATTCACAGATTTTCTCCTAGAATCTCAAGTGGAATTGGAATCATGAAAATGAATGAGATTTGAAAACTTTCACAAAGATTATAAATGTAGTTTGATGTTCCTTAGAATAAAAAATGAAACAGTAACAACTTAAAAAAAAATTTACATAAGAGTCAGCATCTTTAGCTTTATAATCTAAGGAACCAAATTTAAAAAATGATGGATTACGCTCTGTGAAATGAAAAGACTATCAAGTTAGTTGATCTCTTGTACTGGGAAAAGCTACTTTTTTCCTAAAGAACACAGTGGAGTGGATATGTTCACTTTTTTTTTCTAAAACATATATACAAAGTGTTAAAAGAATCGTGCCTAATGTCAAAACTTTACTGGTTTGAGAAGAACAATCAAAAAGGATTTATACCAATAGGACTTACTATTGTTTTTTTAAGGATCCTCTCTCACGGTGGTAATGAAACATTAACTGTAACAAATTTATAATTTATGTGCTTATGAAATTAGTTTTATGAATGAACAATAAACTGATGCATATAATGGCTTAAATATATGGTTTTAAAATTGACTTAACTTGAGCAAGATACATTATGAAGTTCTTTGATGAGAGTGTGTGGTCTCAAGACCTTTACAATAGATTATCCTTAAGTGTCCATAGCTCTCTGGTACAGTGTTTAGATATAGTTTATCTATCAAAATAGAACATTCACTATGAAGACCTCCCTTCCATTCCAGTCATATTATCCCAAAATGCTAAATGTTCCAAACATTTTATTTGGAATGCATTTTATGTTTTTATAGGTTTATTTTTCTGATTGTGTTTTATTTAGGCTAATATTTAAAAAATGCTTACTAGTGGTAGAAGGTGGTGACAAAGAAATACTCTGGGTAGCAGGAGGAAGCCAACTTGGATTAAAATTTTGCTGAGAATAATCTAAAAAGTGAGTAATCTGGTTGAGAATTCACAGCACCATAATCATAATTGCATATCGGTGTTATACTAATGTTTTAGGAAAGGTCCTATTCAAATCCAGGGAGAGAATCTTTAGTGTTTTCTGGGCCCTCATAAATATGTTTTTCTCATTTGAGAAAATTGTGACTCAAAGTTTATGTTGGTCACTTAGTTTATAGTTTATGATGAAGAATTAAAGAGAAACAAATGAAAGGCAAGGTCTACTCAAATATCAGACAACTAAAAGCCTATACAGCCCCTAAATCCTTTGCTATCTACTTTCCCAGAATAATGCATAACCTAAATTCCGTTATTTCATTTAGCAGAGGCTTAAGCCATTGTTGTCAATTGTGTGCAGTAACATCTCTGACTACGCTTTTGTGGAATTTTGTGTCAATTTGGATTTTTAAGTCAAAGGAGACTTTAGAATCATTTTGATTTGGCAGGGATTCTTGAAATTATCTAGTCCAATTCCATCATATTCAGATTTTGCCATTTGCTTAAAGTAATACCTTTTGGCAGAACTGCCCCTAGGAGCAGCTCCTTGATTCCCAGTCCCCTGCTCTTTCTACCATATATAATATATGTTGTAAGCTTTTTGTTTCTTTATAGTGGTTTGCCTAGTATTCATTTTAGTTACTTGAATCCCTTGCAAGGTAGGTTTTGTTTGTTTGTTTATGAAAGTTATTTAGTAGGAATTTCACACTTAACTGGGTTTTCCTTTGGCTGGAAAATATTGATATTCTATGCAATATCTCAATGGTATGACAACCTTACCTAGGACTTAGAAATCTGTGATTTCTGAGTTTTTGGAATTTAGGACAATGCTCTGGGTAGGATTGATAGTAGATTGAATATATTAAGACTTTAAGACACAATTGTAGACTTTGGAGTTGGGAGATAATCTAAAGAATATTTTAAACCACTAGTTTTACAGGAGGAAACTTGCTAAATTAATCACCACATTTACATCTTATTAGTCCTTATTAAAGAATGGTAACCAAAAGTCTGTTTGAAATG